TCAACTGATTCAACCTGTCGCTGCAGGGTTTCTATGTTTTGGCAGTGGTTCTCGACGGAGTTCATCCTTTTGGTAAGCTCAGATATTGTGCTGTTGGTTTCGACCAGCTCGCTTTTCAGACCTTTTATCTCGGTCGTTAGTTGAGATTGTCCGGCGGATAACTTCTGCAATTTGGTTAGGATAGTGTTAAGATCGGAACCAGGGTTTCTTTAAACGGGGCTAGGGTTACTTTCGACGTCGCCCAGGAGCAGTAACAAGAGGCGCGAGACACGAACACACTCTACGACAATCGAAAGCAAACACTGGGGGCTCGGTAGCAGTACCAAAAGGTAGTCGCTTGATTTTTTTGTGAAAAAGCTGTATGAATGACTAACCTGCATGTTGAAAAGAAGTGGCTTAGCCGAATGTTTCGTGGCACAGCCACCGAGCCCACAGGTGGGTGCCCGAGGATGTTGCTCTTTTAAAGCCGATCCGGTGGTTGACATTAGTGACGTAGGCAGCTCCCATGACGCAGTGGTGCTCAGGCTCACGCCGGGTGTCGCCAATGGAAGCTGGGGTGTGGATGGCATTGCTTGGCGAAGAAAAACCAGTGCATAGCCAGTGCGCTGATCCACGCAAGATGAAGGTACGTGCTGGACGGTTGAAATGGTAGCGGGCAGGGCAACACAGATGAAAGCAAAAGCAAACACCTGCTTGTTGAAAAGAAGTGGCTTAGTCGACTGTTTCGTGGCGCAGCCACTGAGCCCATCATCGATGTTCTCGATGTTCACGTGGACGGTATTTCTCTGACGGCACAAGTCGATACTGGTGCTCACATGTCCATAATCAGTGTTCATTTTTGTTGCCGCTTAAGAAAAGTACTGACGCCTCCTGCTACAGAAGCTGTACGTGTCGCCGATGGGGGAACTGTTCATGTCCTCAGAATATGTACGGCTCGCATAAGCATCGCCGACCGCTCCGTTCCTGTCCTATTCATGGTGCTCCATAACTGTCCTCATGACTTCATTTTAGGGATGGACTTCCTGTCGACCCATTCTGCTCTGATAGACTGTTCCGCTGGTACTCTTTGCTTAGACCTTTATATTCAACCTGAACTTCAAAGTAGCCTCTGTGCCACAGATTTTCTCCGCCTACCACCTAAAGCCCTCACATTTGCCAAAGTCACCACGACCTCACCCGTATTTGATGGGGATTATTCGTCACGCCAATTCCTGATGTCCTACTGGCCCATGACGTCATCGCCCCTCACTGCGTCGTAACTATAGCCGCCAACCGGATACATCTACCCGTCATAAATTTCAGCTTCACGGAGCAAGTCCTCCCTGAAGGCATCTTAATCGCCGCGTTGCGGTCCTTAGCTGATGACCACGTCACCACTTTCGTAGCCGACGTATGCACTAATCTTCCTTGTCGCCCACCCTATGCCACATCCCTCGACATGTCATTACACGGGGGCATGATCGCTCCTCACCTTCCCCCAGCGCAATCAGCTGCCTTCATCCGCCTTTTATCTTGCTACCGCGACATCTTTGACCTTTACAATCGACCACTCGGCCAAACTTTTCTTGTCCAGCACCGCATCAGCACAGATGATGCTGCTCCCATTCACCATTGACCGCATCACGTGTCCGCATCGGCCCTTCGGTCTATGCAACACGCCAGCCAGGTTCGAACGTATGATGGATTCTTTGCTACACAGGTTCAAATGGTCAACATGCCTGTGTTACCTAGATGACGTTCTCGTATTTTCACCTACATTTGAGACCCACCTTGGGTGTCTGTCGGCCATTCTCGAGGCCTTCTGCAATGCTGGCCTCCAGTTGAACTCCTCAAAGTGTCACTTCAGCTGCCGACAGATTACAGTGTTAGGCCACCTTGTCGATGTGTCTGGTGTGCGTCCGGACCCTGAGAAAATTCGTGCCATCATGAGTTTCCCAGCACCCCAATCCATCAAAGATGTCCGAAGCTTTGTGGGACTCGCCCAACCACTTACCGATCTTCTGAAGAAAGGCGTCCCATTTTTGTGGGGGTCCACTCAAGCTGCAGCATTCTTTCGCCTCATCACACTTTTGATGACGCCCCCTATCCTGGCCCACTTTGACCCATCCACCCAAACTGAGGTCCAAACGGATTCCACTGGTCACGGTATCCGAACCGTTCTCGCCCAACGCCAACAGGGTCACAACTGCTTTATCGCCTATGCTAGCCGCCTCCTTACACCTGCAGAGCGCAACTATTCGATCACGGAGCGAGAATGCCTTGCTCTTGTTTGGGTAGTCTCAAAGTTCCATCTATATTTATATGGCACACACTTCTTCGTCGTCACGAACCATCACGCGCTCTGCTGGCTTTCATCCTTGAGAGATCCTACAGGTATCAACTTGGTCGCTGGGCTCTGCGACTGCAAGAATATACCTTTGCTGTGACATACAAGTCTGGACGCCTGCATTAGGATGCTGATTGCCTTTCTCGCAATCCAGTTCGTGAGCCAGCCGGCGTACCTGACGACGCCTGCGTGTGCTCTATTTCCCAACTGACCCACATAGCCAACGAGCAACGCCTTGATGCAGCCTTACGGGCTATCATCGAGCGCCTCGACTCTTCTCCATCAAACCGATCCCATCGTGCGTTCGTACTCCAGAATGGTACATTATACCGGCCTAATTTCCATCCAGACGGCTCATCTCTGCTGCTTGCTATACCCAAACACCTCCGCTCGGCTGTACTCCACGAACTTCACGACATTCCTACTGCCAGTCACCTTGGCGTGTCCCGTACATTCGACCATATTCGCCGTCGCTTCTAATGGCTAGGTCTCGCACGCTCTGTCAGAAGATATGTCGCGGCGTGCTTCAGGCTGGGCGCCTTCAACCACTCGACATTCCTTCTGAACATTTTGTGTCGGCTTGGACTTACTTGGCCCTTTTGACCTGTCTTCTTAGGTGGATAGCTGTGGCCACTGACTATGCCACACGCTATGCCATCACACGGGCCCTTCCAACAAGTTGTGCCACAGACGTTGCCGATCTTCTACATGACGTGATCTTGCAATATGGTACTCCACGCCAGCTGCTCATGGACCGAGGCTGCACATTTCTATTGAGAGTCATAGCAGACATCCTACGCTCATGTGCAACTCGCCACAAGCTCACTACGTCGTACCATCCTCAAACAAATGGTCTCACGAAGCATCTGAACCGAACCCTAACTGACATGCTTTCAAAGTACGTGTCCTCAGACCACTCTGACTGGGACCTCGCTCTACCATACATAACATTTGCGTACAATTCATCACATTATGACACAGCTGGTTACTCCCCATTTTTCCTGTTGTGCGGCCGCGAACCGACATTGCCTTTTGATACAGTCATTCCGTTGCCAGCAGCTCCGACCACAGAATATGCCCTAAACGCCATCAGCCGGGCCGCCCACGCTTGCGAAGCTGCTCGTGCTCGCTTTCTGGCCTCCCAAGAAAACCAACGGCGTCGGTATGATCAACGACACCGTGATGTGCACTTTTCGCCCGGTTCGTTGGTTCTACTAGGGTTACGACCAGGCACGTTGGCCTATCTGACAAACTGCTCTCTCTGTTCACAAGGCCATACAAAGTGCTTCGAGCGGTGCCTCCCGTCACTTATGAAATCGCTCCTGCTGCCTCGTCAGCTTCATCCACCTTTCGGGCCAGCGACATCGTATACGTCACACGCCTGAAGCTGTACCACTCGCCCAAAGAAGTTGACGTCTAGATGCGCCGTTGCTGATGGAGGTTCTGCTACATGTAGGCTGCCGCAATGCATATTGTCAATGTGCATGTGTGCCCGACGAAGAGGATGAAGGTCGCTTGCTGCTCAAGCTCAGAGCCAGACTGGCCAGCGCTGCAACCACTCTTGCAAATATATTGTCTAAATATATTTCCAATATATTGACTCGTTACTCATGTAACAATAATTATATTCGCTATATTGAAGTTTGTGTGTACACTAGCTATGCTAGACTGTCTGCCTTTTCTGTTTGTGAGTATTGATTGCTATTTTAATGCTGCTTTTGTTAATAGTGGCAGCAGAGTTTCATTGCTTCTTGTCAAGGCCATTTCATGAATTTGTTAAAGAATGGCATTGTACATTAGCTTTATCCAGTTAAAATGCTATCTGCTATGGAGAACAGGACCCAGAAAGACACAGTACGAGAGACGCTCAAGAAAGCTGGGAAAGGTGTTTCATGCAGACAAAGCCCCTTGTAACTAAGAATTCTAAATATGCAAAGGAGTCGGGTTAGGTCACTTTATTACACGATCACCATTGAAGTTCTGATGTGGCAAAGATTCATGGCAAGATAATTGCACATCCAATCGCATCCATGTGGCACTGTTAGGTTTTCAACAATTTGAGCAGAGCTGTCTCATAGAAACATGGCAATGGCTCCTAAGCCTGGCTAAACTAACGAAAACAAAGCTACCACTGCTGCCAATGCTGTGACAGAAGTCCAATGGTATCGCGTTGCACAGTTGGTGTGGGGACGTAACAGTGATTATGAAATCATAACGTAAGAAAGTTCGGTGCAATTTGTAGTCGCAATCGTCCGACTGCAAAGCGGAACAGCGCTGTGCCAAGAAAATTAATATTGCAGCACATACTAGTTAGTGATGGGACATCGGTAATGGTACATGAGTGTGTCTGGGTTGTCTTTCTTCTAAGTAGTGAAAAGATCTAGAGATACTGTCCTTAGTAATCGAGTGTAATTATGTTGTATGCAATGTTGTTACCATGGCAACATGAGAAACCTAACCAAACGATTTTTCAAATGTCGCTTATAAAACTAGTGTCTCTGGTTATGAGATGTTACGCTACAGATAAGCTTCGAACTAGTGTCTCTTGTTATGAGATGATACGCTACAGATAAGCTTTGGTACCCCTCACATTGGCTGTCTGCTATCATGGGGCCTAATTGGGACTAGTAGCTAGTGACAAGCGCCAAACAGTGTGCCTTCATTGTTTGTGCAGGTTGACCACATCTGTGTGGAAGGTGCTACGGCCTTGGGCATTGCCTCTCAGGAAGGCCACGAAGCGGTTGTGCGTGCCTTGCTGGAGCATGGGGCTGATCCTTCCCACGCTGACCAGTGTGGCCGATCTCCGCTGCGCGTTGCGACCAAGGCAGGGCACCTCAATGTTGTCCAACTGCTCGAAGAAAGTTTGGCTCGCTCCGCACAGGCCCTGGGCTCAATCAGCACGTTCTCACTTGCCTCTGCAGCATCCACTGCACCATGTGCTGCTCCTCTCTTCTGCCCAGAGTCTCCTGAATCTACGAGCGACAAACGTCGCTCCCTCGCATCCACCCGCTCAGACTCGAAATCGTCTAGCAATCGGACTGACTCGACGGCTCGCTCCCAACACAATGTTGCTGCGACTGTCGCAGACTCCAGTGCAGCAAGCCTCAGTTTCACCCAGCAAATCCAGCAGTGCACACGTTCGCGGCACCGTACAAGCCGGCTTCTTTCTCCCCTTAACAACGAGGGTCGTGCGCCGTCCAGTCCTCAGAGCTGCAACTGGCGACCAGCAGTAGTTGTGCCGCCGCGCCCACTGCCAGATCTCCCTGCCACGGATGCGCGGCCAAGGCGCAACGGCATCGTTACCAATCCCAACTGCAAAGGAAACAAGCGCTGCATGTCCGATCAACCGCACAGCAAAGTAGCCAGCCACAGAGAAGGAGTGACAACGAAGAAAGAGACACCCCTGTAACACCCTACAAAGTGCACTCTTGCTGTGCTGCAATGGTCAGGATTAACGGTCAACAACTTGTTCAGCTCTGTGGCACATGCTTCATGTAGTGTACGAATTGCTGCAGGGCTTTGCTACAACAGTTTCATGCGCAGCCGACCATAGCTCTTTCCCATGGAAATGTGTGCTCGGTGCCTTTATTTCAAGTTTGTTTCCATCGGTGCTGCTTTGAGAACACTTTTGCTTTGTGATCTGTCATGAAGCTGCACTTTGTTGCTTTGCAAAGGTTTCCTGAACGGGCTGGATACCACCTTGCCCTTTGAACATGTGCTGTAATATTAATGTAGCATAGCGAGTGGCTGTTCCTCTGCACAAGCAGTTGAGGATCGGTAAATGTCTTCTTGAAAAAGCACAGTTCCATATCCTGGCCTTTTCAAAAGAGTGTAAACATACTTTTTATTGTTGCTTCCGTTTTGAATCAAGTGCAGCATACGGAAGTCTTTGAATTTGCTTGTGACAGAGCTGTCTTGTGGTGCAAATGTAGGTGCGCGCACACTTAACGCTGATGTGATCGTCACTCCACTTGACCAGCTTCTGCTTTTAGAAATGTAGAACCGAGGTAGGCTCTGTGGAAGTGCTGCTAACTGGAAGTATTGCTTCTTTGGTTTGAGGTCTTGTGGGACTATTGTTTCACATAGAAAATTGATGATCAGAAACGACATGCCAGTCCTTCTTTAAGGTAGGCCTACTGCATCCCAATTCAGCAGGAGTATGTAGAAATTACCTCAGTAAAAGGACTAATAATGATGAAAAGAGGTGTGCTACCCAATATGTAATTATTGCATATGGCCCCTTTGCAAATATAACTCACGTGCTGGGTGCTGCTCTCATTTGCAATGCTCAATGTGGGCATGACTGATGCGAGCAGGGTATATTTTCATTTGCACTCAACTATCACAGGGTTGCACACCATTTTGTTACTGTATAGATTTTTCATAAAGGGTGTTTTAATCCATTATTTTGTGAAGTGAAGCCTTGATAAAGTCTCTCTAGGGCGGGTTCTTGTGCCTGGCAAAGCCGTCCTCATACTTTGGGCAGAGCCAGTCCCTAGCAGCCACCGAGTAGAGAAATGCCCTTCCTAGCCCATTCACTGCCAATCCCGAGTATACTTGCTTTGCCTTTTTAATACCCCTGTCACACGTGGCAACTTAAGTGCACATTGAGTGAGTGTACTTACGCTCACAAAGTGTCATTTTGGTGGTTAGCTGCTACACGAGAAAGCGAAGTGTACTTTGGAAATGATGACAGTAGCAATTGTTGGGTTTGTAGCACAATATATATTTGTTACGTCGGACCACGTTGTCTCCGTGGAAGCAGCACCAGTGGCACATGCTATCGTAAACGACTAGAGAACGACTCACCTACACATTTGCAAGTGTGTCTGGAAGTAAATAACGCGACGACGCAGCCATTGTGCAACATGTGCTGCCACATCCTCCTAGCAGATGTGGCCGCAAACTGCCCGAGGATGAGTGTAGCGAGAACTGTTGTTGATTTACGACTTGTTTTAATACATCCCAGAATTCCTTATAATAAAAACAATAGTTTAAAAGTAGTATGAGCACCATTTTAGGCAACAGCGTATTTTTGTGCAAGCCACCGGTACCGCGGCTACACTCTACGTAGCAGCGAAGTGAGGTTAGGGAAGGCACTTGCCGGCAAGTGTACTTTGCAGCGAGTGACATGAAATTTTATCGTGTGACAGCGCGCAAATGACACTCGCGGGTAAGTGTACTTGCTTGAAGTGCACTTAAGTTGCTACGTGTGACAGAGGTATAAATTACTTCCTACCACTTACGAGGCAACTCATTTGAAAAAAAAAAATAATGCAGGTCTGTCCCACTGTCTATATAAAGGGGTTCTGCAAACAAATGTAACTTGTGAAATTTATGACAACAGAGGGAGGGTGTGCGTGCACATGAGCGTTGGCTCGCGTCTTTGCCGTCTCAGCGGCACAGCCATGACATGCCAGATGTGTGCGTTGATAGAAGAAATTCAGGAGCTCTTGATCAACTTGGACTTGAAATAGATAATTAAGGGCTGTCATTTTTAATCAATGGTTAATTATATTACTTTGTTAATCAGTTCACTGCTTGTAATTTTCTTGTAATCATTATTTTGCCTCTAGTTAGCACCTCTTTTGTTTGATGATTTAATTTACAATAAGAACATTTACACATCCTGAAGAAATCAGACTGAATGGCCAGTAGAAAAGAAAAAAAAAAACTTGGCATGGAGTGCTGAATAAAGCCTGGCAGTGGAAGGGTTAAGAAGTGCATGTAGGTGGTACGTTTCTGTGCTTGCTGTGTTTCATGTAACTGGAAGACTGGGCTTTGATAAGGTAGGAGTCAGAATTAAGAATTAATATGGCAAGCTTTTCATGCAAGATTTACATTGTCAAAAACAGTCTCAAAAATTCATTTTGTGATTTATTGCATGGAATCAATTTTCGAGATCTGACAACATTAAAGGATGCTGTCAGGGATCATGCAATGTTTTTAAATTGAGATTTGTGAACACCAATATTAACAAACGTACGTGTGAAACAGTTTTTTCCGTCTTAACCCCATTCATTTTTGCCCCTGAATGGGTGGCTTGACCAAACAGTGCAAAACCTAGTCACAGTGCTGTAATGGGAATTAACACTTGGGCTGCTCTGCAAGCACTTTTCTGTCATGTTGGCTCCCTAAGGCAAGGCACGTTTGATGAACAACTCACAGAAAATATTAAGAAGCTGAGGCATCCCCAAATTTATCACCCTTTAAATACTATGCTATGCACATAAGTCAGTGGACAAGCACTGCAGAGTACATTGTGTGTCGAGCAGAATAATCATTTCAAGACGCGTCTAGTCAGTCTCGGCTCTCCCAGATGTTTCGTTGAAGCAGCGTGTCTCAAGAGAGTTGGACAGAACCAAGCAATAGTTTGGACCAAACAGAGATTGGGCAATACAAGTTTCTGTTGCCAGAGGTATCACAAGTTACACCCAACTGCTTATTCTATTTTTTGCAGTCAACCCACGTTGCCCCCTTGTTGATGCGACAATCGTGGGACACCACCAGTGAAATGAGGAAATGGCTTTGAGACTTCGTGGTAGCAGCAATTGCCTAGTAATAGCGAAAAAAAAAAAAAAAATATTGAAGTGTCCCAATAGAAGTAATTCAAGGATTACATTTGAGGGAATACAGCAAGATGGTTGGCTGCACTCCAGCTGGGTATGAATGTGTTTCAATCACTGTGGCTGCAGCAAATGGTTATGAGCAAATGCTTGCTCCTGTAGCTTTGCGCTTTCATTGTTAAAGAGGTGCATATGAAGATGAGCTTTCATGTACCCCAGTTTAAGAAACATTGCTTGTGCAGTGGATTTTAGTTTTGAGAAATAAAAATGCTTGTAAGAAAGTTACTTGAGCAAGTTTTTTTGTCAAATGTGCGCAACTGTACAGATGGTTTCGCCAACACTAGATACGTCTGGCTGCCGCCCGAGGAAGAAGGGTCCTGCCTCTCTTGACCACAGCAAGGACAATACTATATTTGGATGCACTGTGCAATCACTGGAAATGCCCTAGAAATGGTGCCCGTTTTGCCCACTGTGGCTGCTTGTGTTTTGATGTTTTCTATAGACAGATTTCTTGCGGTTTGGGCACTTCTGTGTGGTGCCATAGGGTGCAGTCTGTGATCAAGGACTAGTTTTCTATAGCAAGCGAGAACATTCTGTTACCAGCACATAGCGTGCCTGGTTAAGCCAGAAAAAAAAAAAACTATTCTTTCAGAGCGTGTCGCTTCGTTCTACCAACTTCGTCAAAGGCAACTAAAGCTCCACATATACTCTATGGCGCAAGAGCACAGCTCAGACGTTAGTCGCAGGTCCCCAGTGACACTGTACCATTTGGTCACGAGAGGCTCCTGTGAGTGGGTGCATCAGTGCAAGCGAATGACATCACCCGACGTGTTGCACCGTAGCTGCCGACGGTCGCACTGTAGCTGTAGCAATCTTTCGGTGTCAGCGTGTATTGCAGATGTAGTCAGGTTAACTTGAAAGTTCGATTCACGAATAGCGTACATTGCAAGTAGTTTGCGTGACTCTGCCACTTTGATGTCATCAGGTAATTAGAACATTTTATATTATCTCAGTGATACCAAACACTTTGGATCGTGATCTCCATCGAAAGTACCCAGTGTGGCACATGCTACAACAGCTAGCGTCTTAAGGTGATTTTGTGTGCCTAGACCCAACTACTGTTCGGTTGATTCTCATTACACTACTACATAAATGTGTTTGCGGCTGTGACCGGAGGCAGGCTTTTAGCTCCTGCCGAGAAACTCAATTGCTCAAACAACTTTCCTCGTCTTGCTGATCATGAGACCTCACTACAGAAGTTCCTGCTTATACCTTTCGCATGTAATATTGTCGCACAGGAGAGGTACAAAGCATGTTACACATAGTCGCAAGGCATCACTCTAAACACATCTGAAGGAATGACCCAAAAACAGTAGAGCAACAAACCCAAACACCACTGGGATTGTTGCTCTTGGGCACATACCAGTTCGTTCACAAACAGCAAAACAATCTGTAAAATAACAAGCCGCAACGCAACGCTGACATTAGAAATGATGCACACTTTTAGAAAAGCTTATTTCTGCAGATGCAATAAAATATAATAGCACACTTTTATCAATGAAAGAAGAACAAGAATGTTTTATTGGGAGGTTCAGCAAAATAAACAGCTTGAATTTTGAAGCCTTGAAGCCCGGTCATTCAATGCCCATACCTGTGCAAGGAAACAAAGCCATGAATGAAATTTCTATTATGCCTTACATCAAGTCATTGCTTCCTTTCTACCAATGAATTTATTAAACTTGGGTGGACAGACATACAAGCTGAAAGATGAGCTTAAAAAGTTTCATGCACTCCCACTGTTAATGGTAGCTGCTACTAATTGGGCAACATTTTTCCGGTTACCATGCGCACAAAATTGCTATGATTGTGAGGAACACCACAGTGAACGGCTCTTGAAACGGCCTTGTAGAATTCGGCCAAGGTATTTACAGCTATGTACAGGCGGGCTTTTCCTCTTGAATAAACATGTCTTGAGTTGCCAAGTTTCGCCTAACAGTGCAACAAACGTGAAGGTGTTCTTTTTTAAAAGAAAGCCTCTAAATTTAGTAAACGACACAGACGCACACTGGGCATCAAGCCTACTGCTGGGCCACGACTGTTATGATCAAACTACTGCAGTATCTGCGCATTTCCACCGCTGTAAACAGCGACAAAAGAGCTAACTGGATGCCATTCTAGCAGGCACGCTGTCTACGGAACCTGGAACAGGGTGCAAATAGGACATTTACACCTCCCAAACAACACTAACACTTCCCCCACCGCCTCTCAACACTGGTTCGCATCCTTCAACATAAAATCGTGCTGATGCCTATGTGTCTAGACCAAGATGATGTTTTACTTCAACCATGTGCCTTTTAGCCGACAAAACAAAACAAGTTTTTGGCAGTAATCAGACATAGCGTCATCCACTTTAGCATAGAAAGACGACACGCGGTGATGGAAACTGCTTTGCTACTAAGCTTTTCTCCCAACTGCTACTGCAGTAGTGGTGGCTGTCTAGCGACTTGCAACTCTAATTTGTTGCAGCGCAACATGACTCGCTGAACGCACCAAATATTTCACAATGCTGCCGTGTGTCTCGGCAGGCAGCCGATCAACGTTCGATGCATGCAAACTTGCCATGTGCAGATAGCAAGGACCGATGCTAGCGACGTCCTCAAGTCTTCTCTACAAGCTCTTCAAAGTACAGCAATCCTAGCGCGTGCATGTTTTTTTTTTTTTTTTTTGCCATGTCACGCAGAATAAATAGATGAGGTCGATGAGCTCAGACGCGGCAGCAAGCTGCATGCGCAGCCCCACTCAGTGTGCAAAATATGGCGGACGCTCTATCTGCAAGCCGATAATAACATCACGTGCAACCCATGCATGTATTGCCATAGAGTTTCCTATAACTGTGGGGCAAGTGTCTTTCGTAACTGTAACGCATGGCGCTTCATCAAGCATGGGAATGATGGGTAGTCCTTTTGTCTAATCTTTGCACTTTCATCTTTATTTAGCTTTGTGTGGCTTGGAGTTGCGCTGTCATGAAACGGCGATCAGCAACGTTTTAGCCGTTAAGCTTCACTACCTTAACCTTTTAGGCTCACAAATTCAAATATAGTTACAAAGACCAAACGTTATCAAAACAAAACCAAAACACTGCAATAAACAAAGCCACAAGTGTGTTCGAAACCCGCAAATTCAAGTACTGCCCAGCATTCCCATGGTCGCTGAACAATCGCAGCGTTTCCTCTAGTTATTTTCAGTACACCATGTGTATAGCCAGTGGCCTTTTTAGATGGCTTCCAGGTGTTGAGGTATGAATTATACTACTGAAGTAGCTATAATTACGAATGAACGCGCATGCAAAACCTAATCAAGCTAACGGCTTTTAACACCACTGCAAGCCTTTCCATGGTGGTTGGAAGAGAACAACCAGAACACTGACAAAGGGTGCTTTTTTTTTTTCACAAAGAAAAGGCGTATTGCTCACTTTTGGAATTCCCATTCCCTGTTGTCAAGCGGACAAACTTGGCGCGTCTTCAGCCACCGGGAGATGCAATGGAAGTGGAAAGCGTGCTGAAAAAGGAACGACAGAAACTTTACCTCGCATCATGGTATGGCCAAAAAACTGCTTACATTGCATACTCCCCAGGCTACGGTGCATTCCTCGCTGGTTGCTGAAGCCTGGTTAGCCTGGCATTCGATACCTGGCAAGAAACAGCAGTCGCGTAAGCGGAAGCCTAAACCACCGTGAGGGTCACTTTTAAACTTACACAAATCCATGATATGGTTTCTGCAGATTGCGCAGTTGTCCACGACAATGTCTGCGAATAAGAGAAGCGCGCGTGGGAAAAAGAAAACGATCTGCCATTTACGGATGCGGTCAAAAGCTTACCCCAGGCCCACAGAGCAACTGCGTTCCACTGAAAAGAATAGCATTTTAGTAAACAGTAAGACTTCAAAATGAAAACGGCAAAGAAAGCAAAGAAATGCCCACTCACTTTCTTGACTTCGAATCGTTTTTTGTCTCCCCTAGCAGAGCTAGTGGAACTTGGCTGTTCAGACTGGTCTACATCCAGTTCATCGTCCACTTCCATGGCCATCTTTCAGACTTGTACTAGCAAAACCAACGTAGGTTAGAGTATGACTAGAGACCAAAGTGCAGCTACACGAAGTGGTCCAGCACAGAATGGCCAGAACACGGCGGAAGCTGCAGCTTGAGCTAAGTCTGAACCACGAACTACTGTATTTTACTGACCTGCCTAGCGAGCGAAGCGACAGCACGCGCTTTCTGGTACTGGCGTCTGCCGCTATGCGCCTTGTAGCGCTACAGCTTACCCCAACCGCACTGGTTGCTGACGGCCAAAACCAAAGCCTCCTGAAATTCTCTCGCCTGCTGAATTAATTATCGGCGGTCACTTAAAAAGCGGCTGTCATTGCAACTATGGTGGTAGCGCCACCTAAGTAGGAGTGTCTTCAAATAGGTTTTTACGTTTTTAGAACTTATATGCAACAAAAATTACGTAAAAAATTTTAAAAAAGCGTAAAAGTAATTTTAAAAAACCCTACGTATGTGACGCCGTCATTCAACGGGCAACTTCTTTGATACAAGACAAAACCTCCGAAATTATTAACAAACGCTAAAATAGTCAATCTCAAAAACCAAGTACAATAACTCTTACCCTACGTAGGCAGCGCCGTCACAAATGACCAGCGTTTCGCGTTCATCCTTCAGGCAAAGGAAATATAGGAGGCTATGCCAAAACATAAGCCGCCGCGCTTTTTTTTTTTTTTTTTTGTCGTCTGCTCGCGCGACACTGGGAGAAAAGCAGCAATGTTTACGCGTGCATACACTCTGGACGATTAAAAAATGAATTAATGCCTCTTTTAGAATAAACTTAAAAGTATAATGACGATCTTTCGTTACCGTATGCTCGTGCCGAGCTGCGACAGAAGCGTGCAGGTAGGTGCGGTTTGTACACCAGCGAAGCGAGGTTTCTTGGTGCAAATGAACCATCACGATGGTTGTGTGCTGCGTGCCTTTCTGCAAATCAAGGCAAGGGAAGACTCCTGATGTAACTTTTCATGAGTTTCCAGTGACCGAGGTTGGCGAAAAATGGATCAAGGTGATTTATAGAAACGGTAATACCCGTGCCACACGGGCATAGAAAATGACATTCGGCAGCGAAGACATTCAGTTCCCCAATGACATTTTTTCCGGCAGTGCTGCTACACGTCCAAAGCGAATGACATTTGACTTGATGATGTCGATCGCAGCACCTTCCTCGTAGCCATTGAATGAGTAGCAATAAAAAAATAAACAAGCGTTTACAAGCTTCATACACATCCGATAATATATAAAAGTATAAATAAGGATATTACGCTGCCGTTAGATTTCGTTCGTTACTTTGGTTTATGACGCTACAACCGACCATGTAGCAACTTGAGCCAAAGCTAGCCATATCCGCAGCGTAGAAAGAAAATGGCGCCTAGCATATTTATTTCACAGCGCCTACCAGCTGAAGAGAAGTTTTTAAGTAGTTTTTTAAAGTGCTTAGTGTAAATAAAACACGCAAAAAGTTTCCTTTCAATCGAATCAACGTCGTTTTATACAACTGCTTCATCAGCTGTGGCGTCGAGAGTACGCATTTCTCAGTCGAATGAGTTCTGGCGATGGCATTTGGTGACGAATGACATTTTGGCGAATGCCATTTCGTTCATGCGTGTGGCAACGCGCGAATGACCTTCAATCTGAAGGCATTAGAAGGTAAATGCCATTGCGTTGTCTGGCATGCTGAAAATGTAATGTATAGTAAATGACTACGTGTCTCTAAAAAAGTGAGTTGCTGGGCTGGTTGGTGGTGCATGACAGACTGAATTTTTGTGAAGCACTTGTTTCGAATCTACTTGGTTGCACATGCACAGTGCACGCAGGTGTAGTATTGAATACTACTTATTTTAGGAGGGAATAACAGCGCTGTGGATGAAATAGACAGAAGGCAATGAGACACGCATGCTGTGTCTGTAATTTTCACCACATCTTTTCTTTATAGAGTGCTGATCATACATTCGTGGCTAAATTAAATCTATGCAAATGCAGCCTAATAATTGAGACACTTGATTAATGTGACCCAGCAAACATTGCCCTAACTTGATGCAGCATATTTTGGCTCTATTATGAGTCATAAAAATACTTGGCATAGACACACGCTAAAGAATGGCTGGCATATAGATCATACCAAAATGAAATAGCTACATTGAGGACAGCATAGGTGCGACATTGCTTGTAACCTTGGTCTCTGGTTTTATCTCTTTCCCTGTTGAAACAACGACATATGTATACTCTGTTCTTTGTACAAATTACCCAATTAGCAATTAGTTACTAAACCCGTACTAGTTCTTGGGACGTACTTATACTGTAGAGAAGAAAGTATTTCTTCGCTGCGTTATATATATATATATATATATATATATATATATATATATATATATATATATATATATATATATATATATATATATATATATATATATATATATATATAATCTCATGATCACCAGCCTGACTACGTCCACTGCAGGACAAAGGCCTCTCCCATGTTCCGCCAGTTAACTCTGCTCTGTGCTTGCTGCTGCCAATTTATACCCGCACACTTCTTAATCTCATCTGCCCACCTAGCCTTCTGTTTCTCCCTAACCCGCTTGCCTTCTTACCCCATCTGGGAATCAACTGGGAATCCAGTTAGTAGCTCTTAATGACCAGTGGTTATCCTGTCTACGCGCTACATGCCCGGCCCATGTTCATTTTCTCTTTTTGATTTCAACTATGATATCCTTAACCCCCGTTTGTTCCCTAATCCACACTGCCCTCTTCTTGTCTCTTAAGCTTACACTTACCATTTTTCTTTCCGTTGCTCGCTGCGTCGTCCTCAATTTAAGCTGAACCCTCTTTGTAAGTCTGCAGGTTTCTGCTCCGTAGCTAAGTACCGGCAAGATACAGCTGTTATATACCTTCCTCTTGAGGGATAGTGGCAGTCTACCTGTCATGATTTGAGAGCGTTTGCCAAATGTGCTTCTAGTTACTTCGATTTCTATATGCGGCGATGGCGTATATAGAGATTGTGCGTATATAGAGAATATGCGGCGATGGCGTAGTGGTTAGAGCATCCGCCTCGCATGCGAAAGGTTCGTGGTTCGAAACCCGGTGCCGCGCAGTTCCCAACCGGATAAAAAAAATATCTGCGTGGTAATGGAACTACATTAAGAGGCCTGGGGTGCGGCCTCACCGGTAACCACCGCCGGGAACGCACTCCCACACCAGAGAAGGATTGGCCACCCTGATACAGTATATGGGCCACTACCTCCCACATGCATATGGCAATTAACTCACGGCCCTCAGTCCCCAGCAGCTGAGAAGCTACTGACCACGGCGGCGGTCAGATCTGCAACGCAGCAGAGGGTGCTAAGAATCTGGATCCGGACAGGCCGCCATTGGAACCTGAACTTGGCAACGTTTAACGCTAGAACCTAATCTAGTGATGGAAGTCTAGCTGTACTATTCGAGGAGCTAGAGAGTGTTAAATGGGATGTAATATAGCTCAGTGAGGTTACAAGAACAGATGAAGCCTGTAGGGTGCTACAGAATGGGCACGTCCTTTGAATCCCACTCCCAGTTCTTTTCTGTCAGCCAAGCTGACAGAAGAGAACTGGGAGTGGGATTCCTAATTCACAAAAACATAGCTGGCAACATAGAGGAATACTATAGCATTAATGAAAGGGTGGTTGGTATCGTAATTAAACTGAATAAGATATACAAGGTAAAGGTGGTACAGGCTTATGCGCCTACATCCAGCCATGATGACTCTTCAGTTGAAAGCTTCTATGAAGACGTGGAATCGGCAATGAGTAAGGCAAAAACACAGTATACTATACTGCTGGGAGATTTTAATGCAAAGGTAGGAAGAATCAGGCTGGAGACCAGGCAGTAGGAGAATATGGCATCGGTACTAGAAACGCCAAAGGAGAGCTACTAGTAGAATACGCAGAACGCAATAATCTACGGATTTTGAATACCTTCTACCGAAAACGAGGCAACCGTAAGTGGACATCGAGGAGCCCTAATGGCGAAAATAAGAACAAAATAGACTTTATAATGAGTGCACACCGAGGCATCTTGCAGGATGCAGAAGTGGTTGGAAAGGTACGATGCAGTGACCATAGACTGGTACGGTCTCGAATTCGCCTAGACTTGAAGAAGGAACGACAGAAACTGATACGCAAGAAGCCAATCAATGAGCTAGCACTCAGAGGGAAAGTACAGGAATTCAGAGTCTCGCTTCAGAACAGGTACTCGGCTCTTAGTGAGGAAACCAACTTTAGCGTAGATAAAATTAATGATAATCTGACGAGTATCATTACTGAGTGTGCAGTGGAAGTTGGAGGCAGGGCAGTTAGACAGGACACTGGCAAGCTGTCCGAGGAAACGAAGAATCTCATTAAGAAGCGTCAAATCATGAAAGTCTCAAGTACAACAGACAAAATAGAACTGGCAGAGCTTTTGAAGTTGAATAATGGCGTAAGTTATCCGATGTAAGAAGGTATAACATGGAGGGAACACGCTCTGAAAAACAGAGGAAGCGTCAAAGCAGTGAAGAGGAAACTTGGGATAGGCAAAAATCGGATGTTTGCACTAAGGGACGAATAAGGCAAAGTAACTACCGATATGGATAGGATAGTTAAAATAGCGGCTAGGAGTTTTACAGAGATCTGTACAGTAGCCGGGACAAGCACGACCTTAATACTATGACACTGAGCAGTAACCCAGATGACACCCCACCAGTAATGATAGAACAAGTCAGAAAAGCTTTGGAGAGCATGCAAAGAGGCAAAGCTGCTGGTGAGGATCAGGTAACATCAGATCTGCTGAAAGATGGAGGGCAGATTGTTTTAGAAAAACTAGCCACCCTGTTTACGAGGTGTCTCCTGACGGGAAGAGTACCAGAGTCTTGGAAGAATGCTAACATCATCTTAATACATAAGGAAGGAGATGACAAAGACTTGAAGAATTACAGGCCGATCAGCTTGCTCTCTGTAGTATACAAGCTATTGACAAATGTAATACTAACAGAGTAAAGAAAACATTAGAATTCAATCAAACAAAGGAACAAGCAGGATTTCGAACAGGCTACTCAACAATTGACCACATTCATACTATCAATCAGGTAATAGAGAAATGCTCAGAGTATAACCAACCACTATACATAGCCTTCATAGATTACGAGAAGGCGTTTGATTCAGTAGAAATATGAGCTGTCATGGAG